TCTGACTATAAAATGGAAGCCAACGTAGTTATCACTGACAGCTTTTAACTTGTTTTAGGAGCTCTCAATGCTGAAATTTTATATAGAAAAAAATGGGTTCAAACTTGTGAAAGATGGAAGCTCTGTCTTTCTTTTTCCTTCCCTGCACTCAATGGAAACTAGGCTTCATCCTTAGTAAAGAAAATATCAGCAAATTAATTATGACTTTAAACAAAACAAGGCACTGGGAGAGGAAGCCATACTGAAAAGCTAGGCAGAACATGTACTTGCACACTATAGCCAGGAAAAACACACCACACCCAAAACAAAAACTGGCAACATGCAATGTACAGGAAGAGAGAGAGAGAATGGACAGAATGTTTGTGTTGGGTAATATGCCCCCAGGATGCTGACTACCAGCAACACTTTCCTTCCCCCTCTCCCCCAAACTGTTTGACACTTTTTCAAATGATATGCTAGGATCCTAAGAATATTGCCTGGCCTGGCCTGATACAAAGAGGAATTCCTGGAGATAAAGATGGCACTGTATGTTGACACTTCACTTGGCAACATGCCAAACTTCCAGTTTTAAATAAACACAAATTTTAATTTTAAAAAAATCAGGAGGGGGAAGGGATACTGGTGGGAACCAAGGAAAGTGCCTGTGGGCATCGTGGCAAACAGGGGAGAATTGGTTTTGGACAAGACTCATAGTTCTAATCTCTCATGCAAGCAAAATCATGCTCAAAATTCTGCAACACAGACTCCAACCATACATGGAGAGAGAAATCCCAGGGGTACAAGCAGAATTCAGGAAAGGAAGGGGCACGAGGGACCACATTGCAAACATACGGTAGCTAATGGAGTGCACCAAGGAATTCCAAAAGAAAATCAGCATGTGCTTTATAGACTATAGGAAGGCCTTTGATGCATAGATCATGAAAAGCTATGGAACGCCCTTATAGACATGGGAGTGCCAACACAGCTGATAGTCCTAATGAGGAATCTTTACTTAGGACAGGAAGCCACTGTCAAGACAGAACATGGAGAAACAAAATGGTTCCCAATTGACAAGGGGTCGGACAAGGCTGCATCCTCTCACCCTAGCTGTTCAACTTGTATCAGAACATATTATATGAAAAGCAGATTGGACACAGAAGAAGGAGGAATGAAAATAGGACGAAGTAATATCAACAATCTAAGATACGCAGACGACACCATACTACTAGCTGAAAACATCACAGACTTGGAACAACTGCAACATCTTTATCAAGGATGAAGGAATAGAAGGCATGCTTATCAAATTTACAGAAGACACCAAATCTATTCAAGAAGACCTGAATAGATTAGAAAGCTGGGCCAAAGCTAACAAAATGAATTTCAACACAGAGAAATGTAAGATACTGCACTTAGGATGGAAAAGTAAAATGCATAAATATAGAATAGGGGGCACCTGGCTTAACAAGACTACTTGTGAAAGGGATCTAGGAGTCCTAGTAGACAAGTTGAACATGAGTCAACAGTGTGATGTGGCAGCTAAAAAGGCCAATGCGATTTTAGGCTGCATCAGTAGAAGTATAGTGTCTAGATCAGGGGTCCCCAAACTTTTTGATCTGGGGACCGGTTCGTCTGCCCCCAGATCTCTGGGGAGCCGGAGGCGCACACATGAGCATGACTCCGGGTGCCAATTTTGGAAAACAAAATGGCACCTGAGTAGTGCGCATGCGCGCACGATGCCAGGCACCATTATTCCAAAATAGCGCCCGGAGTTGTGCGCATGAGTGCGTGATGCCAGGTGCATGTGCACGACTCTGGGCGCCATTTTGGAAAACAAAATGGCACCCTACATTGCGTGCAGATGCGCACTACTCCAGCGCCATTTTGTATTCCAAAATGGTGCCCCGAGTCGTGCACATGCGCCCGGTGTCGTGCATGCATTTTGTCTTCCAAAATGCACCAGGCACATGCGCACGACTCTGGACGCCATTTTGGAAGACAAAATGGTGGCTGGCGGTGCATGTGAGCGGTGGCAGCAGTGGCGGCAGGGCCGGCCGCGGGCCAATAAGAAGGCCTCGATGGGCTGGGACCAGCCCGCGGGCTGTAGTTTGGGGACCCCTGGTCTAGATCAAGGGCAGTAATAGTGCCACCCTATTCTGCTTTGGTCAGGCTTCACCTGGAATA